AAATTGAATCACTGTACTGTTGCAAATAATTCTCAGCACAATCTACATACATAAAGCAGTGCTTTATTCCAGACACGTTTTTTTTTTAAGAAATGCTGTATCAAATGTGTGTTTTTCTGTAAAATCAAATGCATATCAATATTAAGATAATAGTTCAACTGAATAGAATTACTTTTTCATTAAATCATGTATAAAAATTTAACACATTTGAATTTTTTTTCATTAATAACAAACTAGTTTGACTGTGTGCTCATTTGAACCAGTTTCTTGATATTGCTCTCTTTCAGACACAAACTACTTTTTCTAAAATAGATGTTTCATGAAGTTATCCTGGACAGGGTCAAAAACAAATTAAATTTACCTCGTCTGTAACCAAAATTTCAATAGCCTTATTTCAATTTTGTAGAAAAACATACATTTAATATAGCGCTACTTTGAAAGAAAGTGTATGTTTCCTGGGAAGTGATTGATTAATTTTCAGGTGATTTCTAACTCATTTTCTGGTGAGTTTATCATATTGCCAAAATACAAAGCTTTTGCATCACCAATGATTTTTTCAGAACCTGTTTATATTGATGCATGCTGAACACCTTGAATATCCGTCGACCTTAATATAGACCAATCAACTGGAATCTCTTTAATATGCCATTATGGCAGACATAAAGGATATTCCACAAGATAATCTACAGGTACGATTACAAAGTTCCACATTCCGGCCAGGGTATGCCTACAGGTTATCTGGGAGGATCGTGAGAGCGTCTCCTGGCTGGTGGGTCTGCCTCCATGGGAAGGAGTCCCCCTGAAATGCGACACAGGAAACCTATTTCCCAAGCCACAAATTTCTGTTGCTTTGTAGTGGCTGACTGCCGCTGTTGACAGAGCAAATGTTCTGTGCATTTTACAGAGACCCACTCTTGCCTGCTGTTATTAAAGATCACCCCAAAAAATAAAAAGTAATCAATCGACTTCGTTAAGAACCTGGATTCATTTGGTCGAGTTTGAATGGTAGTAAGACCCACTCGCCTATCATATTTTGGTGGTGTTCCAATCGTCCTTATTAGTTATCTGATTATCACATTCAAAAAAATTTTAATAGCTGAATTCAGAAAAAAATATAGTTTTTATGTTACAGATATGGATACGTGGTTTTAGAACTGGAAAACATTCCGGCAGGCACACTGAAAGTGATGCCGTCCACATTTCTGCCAAATCAGGAGGGACCCTTCATACTACAAATCAAATCATCAGCTATGATACATCTCTTCACGATTTGAATCCTTTCAACTTTAATAAATTCTATAGTATATTTTTTAAGTGATTATCTATCTGTGATTGTTGTTTTTTGGGGGCATTTGTAGTATTATGTAAGATTTTATATGAAATAATTCTGTCCTTTAATTACAATTTGNACTTTATTGGTCACAGTGTAGATTAAAAAAGGGTCAAATTACACATTTGAAGAGTATCAGCTGACAGATTTGAAAGTGTCAATTCCCAATTTTATTTTTACATCACTGTAATTGCTTGAAATTGATCGATTGATACTTTTTACTGTTTGGCTAGAACCATTACGCCATTGTATATTTGGTTTGTTCAGTACAAGCAAATAGAATTTACCATATATTACTTGAAATCACCTGTATTATTTCCTGTGTTATTGATTTATTCGTGATGGAATTCTCACTGGACAGTTAATAATTTCATTAGTGAATAATTTTAAAATATGAATGAATAATTTATTAGAGAGAAAATAGTTGTATAAAACTTTTTTTTGCAATCTACTTGAGTTTGTTCAAACATTTTATGAAGGGGAAATGTGTTCAGATTTGCAAAAAATATGCCAGATTTTTTTAAACTAGAGTACTTGGTGCAATATGTAATAAAGTTTTTGCTTTAATGTATAAAATACAATTATACCATTTTTAAATCATAGTCTCTAATACTTGTAATTAATTTATTTCGAAAGTAATATCCTTGTTGTTATGTTTTATTATTTTTTTCATTGTATTTACATGTTTAATAGAATTGTTCAACAAGTTATAGATGCTTTATGATGGTTGCCGATTTTTGTTATATTATTAAAGAATGTATTTTCAACAGTTGTATGATTTTCAATTAGCAGAACATTGAAAAGGCATTTTTATTACCTATCAACCTGAAAACTGTTTAGCAAGTCTTGGCTGATTCTTGAAACCATAAGGTTTTGAACACTTCATAATTTAATTGGACTATTAAAAATTCATTCCATCAGCCACCTTCAGTATACTAATGGTAAATCACAACTGCTAGTGACGTACTGCCTTAGCGGCGATGGCGATGGTATATCCCATTATGAATAGGTCATCTATGGCATATACAGAATATAAAAGATGAATGAGATTTCCCAAGGGGGTTCGATGTAAAGCTAAGTTTCAATAGCGACTGTTGAACGAGATTTGTCTCTATCTTACACTGCAAGGTAACTAGACAAGACCAGAGCTCAAAAACGAAGCATTCATGTTCCAACACCCGGCACTATTGTTTCGAATCGCCAAGGTCACATCAGTGGTGCTAGGATGAATTAAGAATGCATTTCTGCACCATATGTGAGAAATAGGTCGATTATTATTATCTTGACACCTCTCTCACTTTTCGCCATAGTTATATCAGATTAGGTTCCATCTACAAAGAGAGTAACAGGTCTAGGAATATTTTCTCTTATCAACCCGGTATTGGAGTCATTACTGAGGGACTCAAGAGCACACTAGAAATCATCCATCCTTTCTCTGACTTTCCAAAAATCAAGCCATCTGATAATTTATCCATAACAGATCGTGAAGACCTTACATAAGGAAATAAAGGGAGGTGTAAATTTTTCTTATGCACTGAACACAATCAAAACTGTTATATGGATCTTTTTCATTAACGGCAAGGAGACTTCTAGAAGCTTTTGGGTCTAAAATTTTAATACTAAACGAATTTGAGGTGAAACCTGATTCATCTCCATTGAAAATCCTTTTGGTATCTTTTAGTATATGGGAGAATTCATTGTCTTTTTGAAATTGTTCGAGTTAGTCAAACCACCATCTTGCAGAACATTCTATTACTGCTGCTTGAGCAGCATCCTTCGGATTTCCTGAGAAGCATCTCTGGATTCCTTTTCACTATACTATATACACTGCCCAGAGCAAAAATCACTATATATTTTAGTTTTTGGTTCATAATTTTTCAAAGGGGTCGAAAGAGGTCGTTCTTGGCCAGTGGATTTTCAAAATTGTTTGTAGTCAAAATTGAATTATAGAAACCAATTGCCGGCCGTGGAAAGAGCTCACGAAAGTAGGTATACTACTTATAGTAAAAAGAAATGTCAAGACCCATTTTGGTAATTCTACTGAAACATACAGAATTTATTTTTTACCGATTCTCGGTCCCTTTGACCAAAAACTAAAATCATATTTTTGTCGTACCTGTTCACGGCCAAAAATAAATTGAATTTAAAAACTACTTTGCTTAGTTATGTAAAAAAAACATACTATAAACCGTTCTGAACAATCTACTATACTACATGCATTATAAATGAGAAAGTCATAAAATCCTATTTCATTCATTGACTCCATCCACTAAACCTTTCTCCAATGGAGATATCTGACTTCGCTATTACCTTGAAAAGAAGAAAAAAGTTCATGACTCCACCCTTTCTCAGGAAAGCAAATCTAAAATTTTTACTGTTGCTGGTATAAATTTCAAAATTCATTATAATTGCTTCAAATTTTGAGTAATGTTCATGGAAACATTTTACAACAATAAAAATTGTGAAAATAACAAGAAAATAGAAAAAAGCAATGTAAAGAATACAGATGTCACATTCGCTTTTCAACTGAAGGAAAAACACTGTGAAAGAACTTAGACTCCACTTCAATAAGAGGATTTTCCCTGATCGAGTTTTCCCATTTTATAAAAAAGAATATAATCAGATGAACCTTACTTCTGCAACTGTCCTATCAAAGCTCTGTTTTCCAAGGCATCATCAAATGATAAGCAGTCCAAATGATCTTCAGTATTAGTTTTGGTATTAGTATTTAATGTTTTCATCCTGTGCTATATGCGATATATTTATTCAGGGCTGTTTTAAAACATGTCGAATTTTTGTAATTTTCTGAAGATACCTACAATCATTTTGTAAAATACTCTCTAAGTGATTTTCACAAAAAAATAAAACAATTTAAATGCTCCCAAAGTATAGGTATGTATATTTAACTCACATACATTTTGAATATTCTTAATTTTTTTGGGCTTTTATCTTTTCCACTGAATGTTTGATTGGTTAATAACAAGGGTGCAATAATTGAGAAGTTTCCTCTTTTATTTCAAGGTCACATAATAAAGACAAAGATTAGAGTTAATATCTGGTAAAAGTATCCACTGCACCTGTGACTGTTTTGTGGTTTAGACGCTCTTTTCACTTCACATGGACTAGTCAAGGTCAACTTTGTGTTTGTGTTTACTTTGGTTTTGCTTATAGTCTACTAATTAACAATACATCAGAAACCACCTAGTTTGTGCAATACATCAAAAACACTTTTAGTATTATGAGAAAATATTTGAAACAGATGGTTTAGAAGTTATAGAACATGTGAAAAAAAAATTAAAATAACAAATATATGATAACTAACTAACGTATTCAAAAAACATTTTATTGTAAGATTTTCACTAAGCAATTTTACAAAAATGCAACACATGTTTCGCCATACACTGGACTCTTCGGGCGTGTCTTTACTACCACTGCATAGATGAAGCCATTGTATGGCGAAACACGTGTTGCGTTTTTGTAAAACTGTTTATTGAAAATCTCACAATAAAGTGTTTTTTGAATACGTGAAATAACAAATGATGTACAAGGCATCTTGAGGTGAATTTACGCACACTCCCCAATTAATATATTAATAAAATAGAACGTAAGCCCTAAGCTTTCATCGGAAAAAAGAAATCTGTAATATCGACTGTTGTATATGTATTAAGTCTATATACAAATATATTATTTAGTAATTTTTCAACACAGCATCATAAATTTCAATTTCAGCGAATAAATCGTTTAACAAACGATGAAACTAAACAGAAAACAAATTTGACAATTACCTATTAGGTTAGGTCACATTTTATTTTATTCCTTATTTTTACTGTCTGTGTTCTGAAATGGGCCAATCAGCTATCATTTGCGTACTACATGCGTACTAGTAAAAAATTTGGTAAGTACAATTAAGTTAAGAAAGTTAAAATTTGCCAACTGTTTCTCGTCACTTTTTATCAGAAAATTGTTAATTTTTCTGCATAAAAGTGTCCATTGGAAAGTGATATCAGCTTATAATTGATAAATTGTCACTTCGTAATTCTTACTTGTTGCTTGCTAATCGAGTGTGCCACTAGATGTACCTCAAAGAGAAGTTGAATTTGAAAAAATGTTCAGCTCTAAAACGCAATGGGGCAGATTAATTTCATGTTTACCTCAGCTGGATTCTGTGGGTATGTATTAAGTCACAATCAAATGTTTCCTAGAATATTTATTCAACCCTACGTTCAGCGATGTGGTAGAAAAGAAGAGAAATGGACCAATTCATTTCATTTTTCAACGAAGTCATTCTTCATAAAAATTATTGTTTGCTGAAAAATACAATCTTTCATCATCTAATAGGGTGCTTGAAAAATTAAAAATATTTTTTTCACAAGTGTGAAGTTGAATGAAAATGGTCCATTCGGATGAAATCCATANGAAGTATTACAAGTTGTATTTTTGTGTTAGTGAAAAAATGTATTGATATTTAATGATATTAATTGTTATGACAATTTTAAACTGAAATGATAGATAAAGTGGCATATTTTTATTTCAGATTTAGTGGCTCCAGAACTCATTTTGGGAAGATCTGAAGAATGTGATATAGTCATTCACAAGTCTAAATTTTTAGAGAAAGAATTAGTTTTTGTGAGCAAAGAACACTTTATAATTCAAAGGGATTTTGAAGACGAATTTATTGTCTACTTACACGACTTGAGCAAAAATGGGACTTATGTGAATGATGCTTTGGTAGGAAGGCATAAAAGAATTATTATACAGAATAATGATTCCATTGCCATCGGCAATAAACTCAAAGGTATATTAATCAATTCTGTCAGTAATTTCTCTAAAAATTATTTTTCAGTGTATATTTATAAGTCAATGAATCATCCAGTGGAAGAGAGTTTTATTCCAGCAGAACTGAGAAAAAAATATGTAACCTCACGGTTATTAGGTGTAGGTGGTTGTGGACAAGTTAGATTAGTTTATGATAAGGTAATTCTCCAGTCAATTATGGAAATTTTGAAAATTTTTCAGTTATTAAATGTATTTACACAAAATATTAATATTCCTATTAAATTTTTATCATTATGGCAACATTTGTCTCAAAATTTGCCTATTCAATTTCATATTCTTTCTTTATATTCTAGTTGCTTATGAAGGTCTATAAAATAATTTTCAAAGAAGTTTTAAAAATAATTGATGAAAAATCATTTATGTATACGATGTGGTGAAATTTTAAAAAACTTAAATGAACAATTGAAACTCGTAATGTAGAAAGAAGAATAGCAAATCAAGTTATGAATACATGTTAATGTTCATCAATGTGGGATTGGGGAAACGTTATTAATAATGTGATATTCACCATTTTCAATAAAGACAATGAAGTATTCAGCAAACGTTTGTTCCTTTTTGAAAATTTATCCTATTCGTCAATTTTGGGTCCAGTTTTATTTTTGATTTTCATAAATTCTGTTTCAAAATTATTGTTGAAAGTAAATATTAAGTTATGTGCAGATGACACAACATTAATTTATCTTTCTAGTGATACTGAAGAAATTCACAATAATGTGGCTAAATTATCATAAATTGAGTTTAAAATATGAAAAGTCTTTTTTAATGTTAAGAACCAAGAACCAAATCATAAACAAAGAGAATTTGGTTTTTAACAACAAAATTATTAAATATTGTTGAAACACAAAAATTTTAGGACTTGTACATTGATGAATGTCTCTGTTAGATTTCTCATTTTCTCACACACACACACACACAAATATATATATATATATATATATATATATATATATTTGTATA